TTGTTATAAATTGTTCTTGGTCAGTATTGATTTTTTCACAAAAGTGTAAGTACTGTTATTACTGTAAACATCATGTAATATATTTGTAAGATGGGGAATCCAGCACATAGACGTTTTACAATCTTGATTCATTTGGACCAATTGGGTATTATGATAATTAGTAACGCCTCCCTATGTGGTGAAGGAATTAAAGGATTTCTCAAGATGGCGGCGGCTGAGCTTCCAGATGATGCGAATCTGCAAAATGCATTGAGGTCTGGTCGCTTTCGTCACTTCTGGGTGAGTTGGATCCGACCCGTGGAATGCACGCCGCTCGAATGTAGTGAGTGGTGGCACGTGGTGCTTGTTATCTATCCCATGGTGTGTTTGAGTGCCTTGGGGCACACTGTCATGTGAGTGCACTTTTAATCATTACTTTTCCATTTTTAATAAACTTTTTACACTATGGGAGCAATCTTTTTTCTTTTTTGAGTATATTTAATTATTGGCATCCCATTTATTACAAGAGAGTTACCCCAAAGAGACTGCGTTGACTTCTGACCGTTTTCCAATTGGATGGCATTGCCGTCCAATATATTATATTATTCTCACAATGGTTGGCATCTGGTAAGTTGCCTATCTTACTGCAAGTGGTGGAGGAATATCGGATTTTCTCTAATCACTGCATGGACTATCTATTTAGAATGGACATTTTATTTATGTTATCACATGATTATGTTGTGAGATTAGACACAGTATTTAAAATTATGAAATGTGTTTTTTTTGTAAGCATAAATAACACTGGGAATATCACCCCTTATTTGTTATTTAATATTTGTTACCTTAACCGCTTCCCCACCACCCTATAACAGAACTACTGCTACAGGGTGGCAGGGCTGCGCAAAATCACGTATACATATGTGATTTTGTATTTAGGGGTAGGCGGCGGGCGCACACACCCTACCTGCACCACCACTGGTGGCTACAGCTGTCGATCCCTGGGTCCCGGGCAGAGATTTCCCGCTGGCACCTGGTGATCGCCAAGGAACAATGACTGGGGAGAGGTCTGTATGTAAACAATACAGATCTCTCCCCTGTCAGCTCTAGCATGCTGCTTTGTATTGCTCTGCATAGAAGAGCAATACAAAGCAATGTGCTGACACAGTAAAACAGCACACAGCTAACCCTTTGATCGCCCCAGATTTTAACCCTTCCTGCCCAGTGTCATTAGTACAGTGTCAGTGATTTTCATTAGCACTGATTACTGTATTAGTGTCACTGGGGATGTCAGTGGCAGTTAGTTTTCCACAGTGTCAGAATGCTCGCTGCAGTCCCTCTATAAGTCGCTGATCGCCGCCATTACTAGTATAAAAAAAAAATCCAGTATATATACCGCCATTTGTAGATGCTATAACTTTCATGTAAACCAATTGATTTACACACATTGGGATTTTTTGAGCAGAATACATTCTGGCCTACATTTTTTAGTTTTATTTTAGTGCAAAAAAAAAAAAAAAAAACCCACAGAGGCGATCAAATGCCATCGAAAGAAAGCTCCATTTGAGGGGAAAAAGGACATAAATTTCATTTGGGTGCAGCACTGCATGACCGCACAATTGTCAGTTAAAGTAACGCAGCACTGTATCGCAAAAAATGGCCTGGTCAGGAAGGGGGTTAAATCTTCTGGAGGGCAAGTGGTTAAAGGGTATCTAAACCCAAAGACAACACATGTTCCATGGCTGATGGTTTAAGATCTTTAACCACTTGCCTACCAGGCACTTATACCCCCTTCCTTACCAGGCCAATTTTCAGCTTTCAGCGCTGCCGCACTTTGATTGACAATTGCGCGGTCATGCAACATTGTACCCATATGAAATTTTGATCATTTTTTTCTCACAAATAGAGCTTTCTTTTGGTGGTATTTAATCGCCACTGGGCGCTTTACTTTTTGCGCTATAAATTAAAAAATGTGCAAAAAATTTGAAAAAAAAAAAAAGTTTATTTGTTTCTTTTATAAAATTTTTCAAACAGGTATTTTTTCTCCTTCACTGATTTGCGTTGATGAGGCGGCACTGATGGGCACTGATAGGTGGCACTGATGGGCACTGATAGGCAGCACTAAAGGGCACTGATAGGCAGTACTAATGAGGTGGCACGGATAGGCGGCACTGATAGACAGCACTAATTAGGGGTCACGGATAGGCGGCACTGATATGCAGCACTGATAGGCGGCACTGATAGGTGACACTGATGATGGGTACTGATAGACGGCACTGACTGGCATCACTTCTGGGCACTGACTGGCGGCACTGACTGGCACAACCCCTGGCACTGACTGGTGGCACTGACTGGCAGCACTGCTGGGCTGCACTGGTGGGTGGCACTGGTGGGCAGCACTGGTGGGTGGGCACAGGTGGGTGGCACTGGTGGGCACAGGTGGGTGGCACTGGTGGGTGGGCACAGGTGGGTGGCACTGCTGGGCACATGTAGGTGGCACTTCTGGGCACAGGTAGGTGGCACTGCAGAGTGGCACAGGTGGGGGCACTGCTGGGCACAGGTGGGGGCACTGCTGGGCACAGGTGGGGGCACTGCTGGGAATGGGGGTGGGCGGGGCTAGTGGGCGCACTGCTGGGCGGAACTTGCGGGTGTCACTGCTGGGCACCGATCATCAGGGCACTGATCATCAGTGTCCTGATGATCGGTGCCGATCCCCGCTCTGACAACTGCCGGTTCTCGGCAGTACTTTCCTCACGATCTGACAGCGTGAGGAAAGTGCAGCCGAGAACCGGCACTTGCATTTCCCTGTGATCAGCGTGTCATTGGACACCGCTGATCACGTGGTAAAAGGCCGGTGGGATCGGCCTTTCACCACATCACGTGATCAGCTGTGTCCGTAGGACACAGCGATCACGGGAGATCGCCAGGTGCGCGCCCCCTGGGGCGCGCAGGAGAGCGCGTTCTGGGAGGACGTCATATGACGTCCACTCAGAACTGGCCGGCCGCGGTGAAGCCGTCATTCGGCTATGCGCGGTCGGCAAGAAGTTAAAGCTCCTCAATTTAGAGTCAGCCATAAATAGTGGCCCTAGAACTGTCCTTTATGTACCAATGCTTGTCATATGCTCTCTTCTGTCCTAATAGAAGTGATCGGATGGCTTTATGACCGCCCCAACCAGTTCTATGACAGAGCTGAGAGTCAGCTCTGCAACAGGGAAACAAACCTCAGCTGTTTCTGTTGCTTTGTTTCCATCCTGATAATGCCACGCCAGAAGCAGAAGAGTGAGAAGAAACATGTTCTTTGGTAAAAACTGAAAAACGGGATATGGATTTGTGTTCCTACCTGGCTAGGTATTCAAGATTCCTTGTTGTCAATATCGATGAGAATGTCATCCCACAGAGTAACACTTCTATCATTTGAAAGGAAATATTGTATTCAGTTGCATTCATCACATTACATTACCAGCACATTCCAGTGTATTTTCAGTAAGTACACATTATCATTTTACTGTAACATTTATCTGAAAGGAATGTTTGATTCTTTTTCTATAGAATTGTTTTGGATTGGTAAATTTACATCTCAACGTCACCTGAATCTTTAACATGAAAGTGACACTAAATATCTTTATTCTCGAAAAATAATCCATACACATCTTCCAATCCATGGCCCTGTAATCTATTTTTCATAACGTTGTTTCTTACTATGTTTTTCTGCCTCCTTGTAATGTCCTCAGGCCTCCCAGACCTCTCCTTTTTTTTCACACTTCTGTTTGTTTGGAATGAGTAGTGAATAGCATGCCACAGCATACAAAGACATTTGAGATTACTGTGCATTCCTGGTTTGTGGTAACAGTTTGGGGAAGACCCTTTTCTGTTTCAACATGATCCTGAACACAAAGCCAGTTCCATAAAGACACGGTGTGACCAGTTTGGTGTGGAGAACTCGAGTTGCGTGCACAGTGCTCTGACCTCATCCCTACTGAACGCCTAAAGAATGAATTGGAATACTGACTGTAAGCAAGGCCCCTCTTCCAAAATCAGGGCCTGACCTCATATACATTTATTTTGTCTGAATGGGCCCAGGGACACCTATTCCCCATTTTATTGAATGCTAAATTTTAGGTATGGATATTTCATACATGCTTGGACCAATGTCACTATGTATATCCACCATACTTGGCCGATGTCCCTGGAATAAGTGATATAGACACAGCTAATCCACTGATCTCCCCTGTCTTCCAGGTCTCATGTTGAGCAGATGTCTTGCTGCATTATGAACACAGGAGGTCATCTGCTTGGCACGGGCATCATTCAGAGAAGGTTTTGCATTTTCTCAATGAATGTAAAACATTCTCTGATTGGACAAATACAGAGACAGGGAGGTGACATCAGGAGGGGCAATGACATTTAAGTGGGGCCATTTGCAGGTCCAGTAACCCAGGTTGTCAGTGTAGATTAGGTCTAATATTAATATCTCATTTAGGCCTGTGCTAGAGGTTTTATTGCCTGACAGGTTAAAACCAAGAGGGGATTTCTGACCTTAAAGGATAAGTTCACTTTTTTTAAAGTAATAAATGCACGTCTTTTTTGCAGGTAAAAAATGTGCATTTATTTATTATTTCTTTTACTTGGAGTCAGAAAAGCATTGCACCCGTGATCAGCAGATGGTGGGTGCCATGAAGGTCTCCTGCAGATTGTCCGTGTACCTGCCATGGACAAGCAGATACACACTGACAGGAAGAGACAATGAACTACCAGAGTGTGCAACAGCACCATGGAATTGCATTGAGAACTACAAGCTGACAGCAGCAAAAGCTATCGGTACTTGTAGTCTCCCCATTCACAAAACCAAGCTCTTAATATTTCCTTTGACTGCTCTACCAAAATCAATGGCACAACCATCAACCAGTCCCCACATGCCAGGGTGTGAGGGGTAATCCTGGACTCTGAGCTCTTCTATCAACCCTACATCCAATCACTGTCCAAAGCTTGCCACCTCACATTCCAGAATACGCCCCCCTTCCTAACCAATGGCACCACAAAGTTCCTAATTTCATTCCCTGGTTATCTCTCACCTAGACTACTGCAACTCGCAACTCCCTCCTCATTGGATTACTTTTACATAGGCTACCCCCCTTCAGTCAATCATGAATGCAGTCACCAGACTCATCAACCTTACCAACTGTTCAGTGTCTGCCAACCCTCTCTACCAATCTCTCCACTGGCCTCCATTCAGTGTCTTCCACCCCTCTCTACCAATCCCTCCACTGGCCTCCATTCAGTGTCCTCCACCCCTCTCTGCCAATCCCTCCACTGGCCTCCATTCAGTGTCCTCCACCCCTCTCTACCAGTCCCTTCACTGGTCTCCATTCAGTGTCCTCCACCCCTCTCTACTAATCCCTCCACTGGCTGCCACTCCCCCAACAAATTAGATTCAAAATACTAACAACAACTTACAAAGCCATCCACAATGTAGCCCACAGCTACATCACTAACCTGGTCTCTAAATACAAACCAAATCACTCTCTTTGTATCCCCAAAGATCTCCTGCTCTCCAGCTCTCTTGTCTCCTCCTCCCATGCTCGCCTCCAGGACTTCTCCTGAGCCTCTCCCATCCCATGGAATTCTCTACCCCACTATGTCCACTTATCTCCTACTCTGTCCACTTTTAGATGATCCCTGAAAATCCTTCTCTTCAGAGAAGCCTATCCTGCCCCCACCTAACAACTGTACATGTATTTTCTCCATCAGCTCATCCCTCAGTTATTACCTTTTGTATCACTTGACCCTCCCTTTTAGATTGTAAGCTCTAATGAGCCGGATCCTCTGATTCCTCCTGTATTGAAATGTATTGTAATTATACTGTTTGCCCCCATGTTGTAAAGTGCTGCTCAAACTGTTGGCGCTGTATAAATCCTATATAATGCAGCCAGGGGGGCAGCGCGGGCAGTAGCTGCAGGAGTGGGAACATGTTACATGCTCCACCCTAAAACTGGATGGAACATGTAACATGTTCCTAAAAGTGAACCTATCCTTTAAACCTAAAGAGCACCAGATCCTTCACAAATAAGAGTAAGAAACTGGGACTTTTCAGGTGCTGTCTGTTACCCAGAAATAAATATTCAGTATACAGAATACAAAAATACTTTTTGTACTTAACACTCATTTATTATACGGAGGCATATTAATCCCCCCTACATTGTTACAGTTGGGGAGAGACAGCCTGGACATTGGAGCTTTGGTATAGAGCGGATTACTTACCCTGACACCCGCTAGGCCTGGGAGCATATTTGGATCAGGATCCCCCGCAGATCCATCTACTATGGCAGCACGGGTTATTCGTCCTCCACTGCAGTCCTTTCTTCACCCTGCGGAGGTCGCCATGACTGCCAGCTCCGCATGATTGTGAGATTCAGCACTCATGGGATGCAAAGTCTAGCCTATTACAGTTCTACTTACCTCCTGAAGAAGCAGCTTTCCCTGCAAAACACATTGAGGAGTGTTATGCCTCCACCCCAGATATGAACATGACATTATGGGATGGTGTATTGTTTTCTGCTTATGATGGATCTCTATGGCCATCTGGTGTGTATGTATGGGCAGCTTCTATGACTATGATATGCTAATGTCTTTGTTATAATATCTAGAAGGTAAACGCTAATCGCTCTGCTTTTATTAATGTGCCTTTTTCATAACTTCATATCTGCAGTTTTGGGCGCAATAAAGAATTGCTAAGTACTAAACTTATTTTTGCATTTTGTTTTCCTGAATATTCTTTTGCATAGTTCCAGTTCTTTGCTGATTTTATCCCCTTATTGCCTGGGAGGTCCCATTAATGGATGAAATGAGTCAATGTCTGGAGTGACAGAAACTGGAATGTTCCTGAAACATTTACAGGATGATCCTCCCAACTGTCTGGAACTTCAGTGTGAATAACTAGTGCTCATAGCAACTTTTCAGATTTTACTGCTAACAGCTTTGATAATCCTGATTAGTCAGTAGAAGGTTTCAGTGTTCTGTTCCCAGATATTCTGGTAAGACATTCAATTAGACAGTTAAAGAGATAACTAGAGATGAGCGAATTATTCAAAAATTCGGTTCGGCTGATTCGCCGAATTTGCGGAATAAATTCACTTCGAGCCGAATATATTCGCTGCAAATTTAACTTATAAAAAGGGTGTTTCTAGGCTTCAGAGAGCCTTTATATTAGTGCAGAACACTGTACCTTTAATTTAAATGCCCTTGGAGTCTGCTGGGGAAGAGAAATAATACTGTCAGTCAGTATGACATGCAGATGAGTGCCGTCGATCTTAGAATCACCTCACACTTCACTCATTTGGGCAGTCACGGGGCCTAAACCAGAGTGTGGAGCCACAGTGTGGCGGTGGAGGCAGCAGCAATGGGAGGCCATACAGCACCCTATGACAAAATGGAACCCACCAGCAGTGTGAGGAGACATTGTGGGCCATTTGTGCCAAGGAATGCGAGGGACTCCCTGCCTCCATCTCCACAGCATACTGCCACGGTGCGTCTGGGTCCTCTGTCTCCTCCTCCTCCTCTACCAGATGCTCCTGCTCCTCCACTCCTGTCCGCTGAGTGGAAAAACCACCCATTTCACTCAATAATTCCTGAGCACCAATGTCCTCCTCTACCTCCTCCTCTTCTTCCTGTCCTGCCCCCACAGGGGTCATGTGGCGTTGAGATCTGTGCGCCACGTCTACTGCACCCTGACCAGCCATTGTTAACAGCATTTGTTCCAGGACGTGCAACAGAGGAATGACGTCGTTCATCCCATAGTCCTGCCGACTCACGAATAGCGTGGCCTCCTCAAAGGGCCTGAGCAAGCGGCAGGTGTCACGCATGAGCTGCCAATGGCGGACATCTAAGTTACACAGGGGAGTACCTTTATCCGCTTGTAACATCAGGAAATCGGTGATGGCCTTTCGCTGTTCGTAAAGGCGGTCTAACATATGTAGGGTTGAATTCCACCTTGTTGCAACGTCGCAGATCAGGCGATGCTGTGGAATTCCGTTCTGCCGCTGCAGCTCAAGGAGGGTGTGCTTTGCGGTGTAGGAATGGCTGAAATGCATGCAAAGTTTACGTGACATTTTAAGGATGTCTTGCAGTGGGATGGTGGATTTTAGGAACCGCTTGACAACCAGATTGAACACGTGAGCCATGCATGGCGCATGGCACAACCTTCCTTGACGCAGAGCAGACACCATGTTCTTTCCGTTGTCGGTCAACATGGTTCCGATTTTGAGTTTGCGCGGAGACAGCCATCTGTCGATTTCTCTGTTCATTACACTCAGAAGTTCCTCCCCTGTGTGACTACGTTCGCCAAGGCATACCAGGTGCAGCACAGCGTGACACCGTTGCGCCCTGCACATGTGATATGCCGGTCGGGTAATGGGACTTGGCACGGGGGTGGCGGCTGAGGACACGGCGGAAGAAGAGGTGGTAGTAGAGGCGGACATCTTTGCTGGACCAAGGACGTGAAAACGTGGAGGCAAAAGCGGCGTGACCTGTCCAAGTTGCTGGTGCGGCTGTGCCGGCACCACGTTCACCCAGTGGGCCGTAAAATGACATGTACTGTCCCTGACCGTAGTTACAGCTCCACACGTCGGCGCTGCCGTGCACTTTGGCAGAGACCGACATGCTCAAAGACTGGCCCACCATCTCTTCTACATGTGAATGCAGCAGGGCTGGCACTGCCTTTTTGGCGAAGAAATGCCGGCTTGGCACTCTCCCCACCGCGGCTCGGCACAAGCCATCATTTCTCGGAAAGGTGCTGAGTCCACCACTTGGAAAGGGAGGGACTGCAGCACCAGCAACTTGGACAGGAGGATGTTCAGCTTCTGCACCGTCGGGTGCGTGCTCGCAAACTGTTGTCTCTTTGGAAACGGATTCCAAGAAAGACTGCTGACGGAATCCGTGAAGAGGAGTAGCAGGAGAAGGAGCATCTGAACGAGCGGAAGATGCCAACGAGCGACAACTCCCCTCAGCAGAGGTGTTGGAGCCTTGACTGGCTGATAGAGGGCGATTGACGTCGGGTGACGGAGCAAGTAACGGAGCGGGTGATGGAGCGGGGGCTGGGGCAGGCAGAACCGCCGTATCTTTATCACGGTTTTCCCAGGCCACCGAATGGCGACGCTGCATATGCTGACGCAACGCTGTGTAGTCCCAACATTGGCCCCCTGGCCACGCTTGACTTTCTGGCCACATAGTCGACATACGGCTACGTTTACTTCCTCGGGCGGCTTGACGAAAAATTGCCACACCGCCGAGTAGGAAACTTTGCCCCCGCTACTCCTCACTGGCTGACTGCTACTTCCTCCGTGCACACCGGCACCACTACTGGCCGTGGTGGTGGTAGGCTGCAGTGGGAGCTGGTGCTCTACTCCGTAGCCGTTTGGCTCCACTGACACTGCTGCGACCCTGCTGCCTCCTGGGCAACCCACCGACTGTTTTGCTCGCTGGCAAGCTGGCACCCTCTTCTCCTGATGATGCGGAAGCAATAGCCTGATGACGACGAGGCTGCCAAGTGCGATCAGCCTCATCATCATCAATTAGGGTCTCCGCGTCACTACTAGCCCCCTCGGCTGCGTGTGGGTCAGGAGACAGACCTGTCTCTAGACCGGTTACCGAGCCACTCTCCTCGCCTACTTCTTCGCCTGGCTGCTGAAAGAGGCGGATGTCTCCCCCCGTTCCTGACCGCCCTCTGTTAGCTCTTCCTCACTGTACAGTGGGGCTGAGCCCACAGCATGCGATACTTCGCTTGGTGAGGGAACACCAAAGGACAGGGGCAGGTCGAGGACACGTGATTTCAGTGGGCTTGCTCCCGGGCCATGCCAACTAACGGTTGTGTCTGACGTACCCACCGACCGTTGGCTGTAGGTGTCAGAGGTGACCTGGGAAGAGGAAGACGACCGAGTCAACCAATCAATGACGGCAGGGTTGTCGGTGGAGACACGACCGCTGGATGACACCGGGAGCACTGGCCTCTGGCTGCGACTAGTGCTGAACCCCTGTACGCTGCCACGTTTAGGTCCTGGAATGCCTCCTCTAATCACCCAAAAAATATTACCGCCAGCCGGCGTGTAAATGGATTTAACTCTTTGAACGTACAATAGTGTGGTTGTGAAGCAGAAAGTCAGTTTATTTAGCACAATCGGTCAATTGCAGCTTGCCGTTGGCTGGAAACTGTACGTTTATGTCACTGGAATGCACTAATCACCCAAAAAATATTACCGCCAGCCGGCGTGTATATGGATTTAACTCTTTGAACGTACAATAGTGGTTGTGAAGCAGAAAGTCAGTTTATTTAGCACAATCGGTCAATTGCAGCTTGCCGTTGGCTGGAAACTGTACGTTTATGTCACTGGAATGCACTAATCACCCAAAAAATATTACCGCCA